CTCCCCCCTCCTCCCCCTCACTCACTGGCACAGGCACAGGGACATGCACACCCAGTCTTCTCAGCAGTCATCAGGTCTCTCCCCACCCCGAAGCGTGTGCCCAAGGATTGCACAACAGTTACTCTGGCTCTCAGGGCTTGGGTTGGGGGCCAGGGCTGCCTCGGGAGCCCACCTCCCCTCCCAGGAGTACTCAGAGTCGCCCCTGGGCTGGGAGAGGGGCTGAAGGGTTAGGTATCGGAGCCCAAGATGTGCCTCCAGCCCCTCTCTATCTGGAGTTTAGGGATTGGAGGTCAAGGGTCAGAGATAGGGTGGTCAAGTCCCTGAGCCTACTGCTTTCTTGAGACAAAGTTGGCTCTTCCAGGGACCACCTCCATCAACCCCTGCTGGCCCCCCACCTTCTTGGTCCCAGGTCGGGGAAGGGTGGGACAGGGCCGGGTCAGGGAGCTAGCTGGCTGGTGCTGTCAGGGCAAGTGAGGAGGCCGGGAGCCCAGCACCGGGTTTTCAGGCAGGGCAGCTGGGCAGCAGGATGCCAGGGCTATGGTGCCTCCCTCGGGCTGCGGCTGGTAGCTGGGGTGGGCGGCTGGGGTGGGGGGCAGGGAGCTGCCTCTAGTCCGGGAAAGCTGAGTCAGGTGGGCAGGCCCTGCCTAACCCTTCCCGGCCCCCTAGGGCTCCCCACCCTTGCTGCGGAGATGGAGTGAGAAAAAGAAAGGGACTCTTTCAGAGGAGCCTGAGTCTGACACCCACCTAAGGCTGCAACTATCATCCAGAGCAGGGACAGTGGGGAGCTGCCCCAGCCTGCTGCTCTGTCCTTCCTGGGGTCCCCTAGTCCTGTTCTTCACCTCCAGTCTGTCCCTGGCCCAGACTCAGCCCCTGCCCTAACTCCAGTCCAACACTCGACCAGGTCCTACCCCAGCCCCAATCTCAGCCCCAGGATGTCTCCAACCCCAGCCCCCGCCCTCTTCTCCCTGATCCCCAGCCCTAGCCCCAACCCTAACTGCAGCCCTAGTCTCTGCCCCACCCCTGGCCCCTGCCCCTGCCTCTTGGGGACCTGCGGGCCCTAGGCCCAGACCCTTTGGTCAACAACCATGTCCTCTGTGCCAGGCCCCAGGCTGGGCACTGGAGACCCAGGCTTTTAGCAGCCTCAGTCTCCAGGAGCTCCCAGGCCATGGCCGAGACCTCTGGCCCATTGCCTCCTGCTCTCAAGGCCTTACTGTCCTAGGGACTGGCTTCCCCCCATGCCGGCCTCCCCATCCCCTCCTCTACCGCCTCTCTGTCGCCACCATCCCCATCCTCGGCCCAGCACCCTGCCCTGGAGCTCAGGCCTGCCACCCAGCCCCATCTATAAATAACCGTTCAGGCCCCACCGATCACAGCCCCCCATGGGCCCAGCCCGCAGCCTGCCAGGGCATGCTCTGAGGACCCAATGGCCCCCTCGCTGGCTCTCAGGCCAGGAGCCCCAGGGAGGAAACACCAGCTTCCCACTGATAGCAAGCCCGGAGGGCGGCCAGTGGGCTGGCGGGCTAGTGGGCAGGCGGGCGGGCGTCCGAGGGCCACAGGCTGGGCTGGTGGAGAAGTCCCAGTACTCACAGGGGGGACGAGGGGAAACCCTTCCATTTTGCACGCCTGTAACATCCAGCCGAGCTCCGAGCCGGTCAGGTCCCAGGTCCCCTGCCTCGGTGGGGCCCAGTGCGGAGCCCCTTGGGATAGGAAGCCCCGTCAGGGGCTAGACTGACTCAGGCGGGCGCAGGGCTCAGGCCTGCCCCCTGAGCTACAGGAGCCCTGGGTGAGCCCCCTCCCTTGACATTGCAAGGCCAGCGCAAGTTCCTGATTTTATCGAAGGGCCTGCCACTGGAAGATAGTCCCCTTGGGGTGACATCACCGCCCCAGCCCGTTTGCATAAATCTCTTGCGCTACAGGAAGTCCCTCGCCACTGGGGCAGGTGGTGTTCCAGGGGCTGGCCTGGGAGGCTGTGGGGGCCAGGCCCCCTGCCCAGAGGAAGCTGGGACTGTGAGGGGCTGCCTTGGGGACTGAGGTGGGGAGGAAGAGTGGGAGGGAGGAAGGCTAGCTCTACCACAGGGAGGCCTTTGCTGCCCCCGGGCTGTGTTGAGGCTCTAACCCCTAACCCCACGAATGTTTACTTCTCTTGAGACCTCACATGTGGCCAGTAGTCACTTCTTTGGGGTCAGAGCTGGTAGGGATGGCCTCTTGGGGCCTCCACTTTCTGGGATCAGCCTGGCTGGCTAAGGGCTCTGATCCAGCAGACTGCCAGGCTTGGCTCTTCCGAGGCCTAAGGCCCCCGACCCCTAGGTTCCACCAGCCTGGGGCTGGGCTCCGGGGCAGGGTCCTCAGCACAGTGTGCTTCTTGCCCCCCACCCCCAGTCCCTTCCCATGGGCTCTCCTTCTACCTCACCTGTCCCAGCTTCCTGCATATCACTGCTTCTTCCAAATCCTTGGAGGCTCTAATCCCAGCCCAGATTTCTGTTTCCTCACCCCTTGCCAATGTCTGAATATCAACCTAGTTTTCCTAGTTTACTAACCTTTCTTTGTCCATTCACTCCTCTATTTTCCCACCCATTTGTTTGTCTATTTGTCCATCCATCTATCCATCCATTAAGTCAGCCATACATTCATTTATCTATCAGTTTATCCAACGGCCCATTCATTTATCTGTTAGTCCATTCACCCATTTACCCATCTGGTTATCTCCTTGTCTATCTATCTGTCTGTCTGTTCATAGATCAGCCCATTCATCTGTTATGAATCCATCAATCTACATTTCCTTTGTTTATCTACTGTATATCCAGCTATCAATCTGTTCACCCATTAGTCCATTTGTCCATCTACTACTCATCCATCCATCCACCTCTTCATGTCTCCCCCCACCTATCCAATCATCCATTCATCCATCTGTCCACCCGTCCACCTAGCCGTCCGTCCTGTCATCTGTCATTTCATCATTACTCACCCTTGTATCTGTGCATCCTGCCAGTATTAGTAGAGTTCCAGGCTCTGTGCTGAGTGCTTGGAAAATAGAAAAGTATTGGATAGATCCCTGCCTTCAGAGAGCTCCTGATCTAGTCTGGAGGGCAGAGAGATGAATAGAGACATGTTTAGATCCATTGATCTCTGGTGAGTCCAGTTTCCTCCCCGGTGTAGCTGAACCCCTTGCTTTATATCCTCTCGCTGCTAAGACCAGCTCACCTCTTTCCTGTCAGTGGAACCCCAAACCCCCAAGTGTTTCTTCACTGGCAGCCAAGACCAGAGATCACAGGTCTGGGTTCACCATTAGATCACTTCCATCTTCACTGACTTTTTGTATCCACACTTGGTACTCTCCAAGGGGTCCAGATCACAAGTTCCTAAGACATCCTAGGAACCTGACCCAGCCCCTCCCCAAGAGGAGGAGAGAGGCAGGCTGACTCGGCATCAGCTCCATCCCTCCCAGTCCACTTCCCTATGGAGAAGGTAGAGTCCCAGCTAACTGAATGCCTGTGAAGGTGGGTCTGCTCCATGAGAACCAGGTCCTGCTTGATGTCTTCATTCATTCATTCATTCATTCACTCATTATTGTCTTGGTTTTAATGCTTATTTATCTACTAACTCGTTCATTTAATCACTAACTTTTTATTGAGGGTCTTCCATGTGCTGGGCACAAACATGAATGAGGCATACTCTGGGCCTCCAGGAGCTCGCAGGCCTGCAGATATAGACATGTAAACACATATATAGCTCTTTGGGGAGGTGCTAGGTACAGTGAGGAACAATGAATTCGGTCAGGACCATGGGAGGAAAGCATGTAAGGGAGAGGGCATAGGCTGGCTGAGGAACCAGCCTGAGCAAAGGCAAGGAGGTGGGAAAGAACAGGGGAACAGTGAGCCTCCACCTTTGTGGCTGGAAGCAGGACAGGGGAGGAAAGGGAAGGGCCTTGACTGTCAAGCCGAGGAGCCTGGGCTGCATCCAGGGGAGACTGTGGAGCCTCCGCTGTGCGTAGGCAGGGAGTGTGCTGCTGTTCTCTGTGCTGCAGGCAGCAAACCAGGTCGGCTGTGTGTTTCCGAGGCCTGAGTCTCAGGAGACCCCAGGAGAAGACAGAGATTCCATTGTTCCAAGTCTGGCCAAGCCCAGGAGTCCTGAGTAAGGAAGCCCCCCAAAAAGATCCAGGGCCCAAATCTCTGGAAATGGACAGAATGACTCACATTCTGCACCATGAGAGCATCATGTCTATTCACAAACCAACAAGTCCTCCCCATCCTCCCTCCTACTCCCCCTCCCCCCACAGTGCACCAGAGGCCTCTTCCCAAGACCTCACATACCCAGGGGCCTGCTCTTATTCAAAGCCTTTCAAACATTAGGACCCAGATTCTAAGCAATTCCAAGCAGAGCAGGAAGGGTCTAATCATCCACAACCCAGAGCTGCCAGCTCCTTTGAAAGGAGAGAAATTGTTTTCTGAGTGCCCAGCACTGTGCTGGCTGCTTTCACCCTTGTGATCTCACGTAACTGAGACAACCATCGGTTACACTGAGGCCCAAGGGGACAGTGACTCGCCCAGGGCCACCCAACTTGTGTGGCGAGCTGGGGCAAAAAACCTGCCTCTGGGCCTCTGGGAAACGCTGGATCCTAGAGCGGAGGGAAGGAAGAAAGGCCGAGAAGCCGAGCATGGAGAGGGCAGGCAGGGCAGAGAGGGGCAAAGGCAGTGAGGATCAGAGCGAAGGGAAAGAGACGAAACAGAAGAAAGTATCGAAGGAGGGCAGTGAGGCGGCGAGAGCCTAAAGCAAGGAGAGAACAGGGTGCGGGCGGCAGGACTGGGGAGAGGAGGTGGGACAGCCGGTGGGGACCAGGCCTGCTTCTCCCGCAGTGGAGGAAATGGGGTCCAGAGACGGTCCCCGACTTGCTGAAGGTCGCCAGGTGCCTCATGCCTGGGCTGTGACTCTCAGCCTTATCGGCAAGAAATTAGTTTGAATCCAAACATCTTGGGGGTTCCAGAGAATGAGAGACAATTTTTTTCATTATTTTATTTTTTGAATAAGTAGTACATGTACATGACACAAAACTCAAAAAGGTACAAAATGGGAAACAGCTGCCCAGTTCCCCTTCTGTAGGCTCCCCACAGCTTACCTGGTTCTTGTGTGTTGCTCTAGAGATAGTGTAAGCCCACCTAAGCACAGGGGCAGAGCGGTTCTGTTGCCGATTTTACCTAACAAGTAGCATAAAAACACCCTGGACGTCGCTTTCCCCCCTAAACCCATTCCAGGCCCGTGCATGAAGAGCCGCCTTGTTCTTCTAAGTGACTGCATAGTACTCCACTGTTTGGATGGACTGCAATATTTTTAAATCATGAGAGACCTCATTCATATTAAATAGTCCACAAAACATTCACATGCAGTTTAAAGAGTAATTATAAAGTTAAAACTTATCTAACCACCATCCAGGTCAAGAAAGAAAACATTTCCAGCCCTCCAGAAGCATCCCCCAAATGTCCCCTTACAGACCCCTCCCTCTCTCTAGAAATAACACCATCCTAACGTTTTCAGTATTTCCTTGCTTTTCTGTAGTTTTACCACTTACGTAAACACCCCCTAACACATAGTTTAGTTTTTATCTTAACAGATTTTAATCTTTATATAAAGAGAATCATAGTATAATATTTTGAAGGTTCTGCTTCTTTTTCCACCATGTTGTTGCATGTAGCTGTGGTCTGTGTTCATTGCTGTATAGTATTCCAATTGCCAAAATTTTACTTAAGCGGTCTCTTATGGAATGGACATTCAGGTTTTTTCCAGTCTTGCTATTACAAATAATACTACAATCGGTAAAACATGTTAATTTACACATATGTAAGTGTATGTCTAGGATAAATTTCCAAAAGTTGGGTCAAAGGGCAAGGCTTTTTTTTTTTTTAAGCAGGTAAGTTAGAAGAGAGTGTCCACTGGAATACTAGTCGGAGAAGAAGACTGGAGTTAAATGTTGTTTCCTGGGCTGGATGGACTGGAGTGGTGGCTTGCGGGGGTGGTTCTCATGCTTTTACATTTGCTTGTCTATAAAAGAGCATCCTTTGGCCTGGCCGGCGTGGCTCAGTTGGCTGGGTGTTGTCCCGTACGCCATAAGGTTGCCGGTTTGATCCCGGGTGGGTGTGCAGGAGGCAGCCCATCGATGTCACTTCCATGTCGATGTTTCTCTCTCGCTCCCTCTTCTTTCCTCTCTCTCTCTCTCAAAAAAAAAGGTACCCTTCAACAGCAAAGGACAAGACATATTTTTCAGTCTTTGATGAAAACAACATAGGAAAAAGACCTACTTCTGTGGAAGTAAATGTGTGAAGGGAAACTAAAATTCTTTAAATTCTCCTTTTACTGTCTTTAACTTTTCAAGGCTAATCCTGATGGTTAAGAGATTGATACTGAAAAGAAAGTCACAACCAAATACAGGCCAAGGCAAAAACCCTTGTGTACCTCCCCTTAGATACTAATACACAGTATCAGAAATTACTTAAATAGAAATAGAAAGCCCTTAAATTACAAGTAATACTGAAAATGACATAGCTTAAATCATTGGAACTGAGATCATTTAGATTTTGTAACGTAGTTGCACAGGGATTTTTTACTCACTTCTTTTGATGTCAAAGGAGATGTGTTTTTTATTTTTTATTGATTTTAGAGACAGGGAGGGAGGAAGAGAGAGAGAGAGAGACACTGATGCGAGAGGGAAGCATAGATCAGTTGCCTCCCGTACTCGCCCTGACCAGGATCAAACCGCAGCCCCCTGGTGCACAGATGACGCTCCAACCAACTGAGCACTTCGGCCATGGTGAGATGTATTTTTTTAATTGATATATAATTGACATGTAATATTGTGTTAGTTTCAGGTGT